ACACTTGTCTGACATTTGCTGTCTGACAGATATTACACAGACACCTTGTATTATCAGTATACTACACACCTAATCTGTAGTTTATGCTGGGCTGATCTCATACACTAATAACAAAACCATGAACAAAATTGAAAAACACCTTTGGCATTATATTGTTTATTGGGTTACACCTGTATTGTAAACAAAAGTGAAGAAAACAATCTCCCCAAGCTATTGTAAGTACACAAACCATAAACACCCTACAGGATAAAACCAACAGTCTGTTGTTGATCATAAATCACTGTAATCAGTCCTATTAAGTTTTGGTTACAGAACTTGTCCTCCCTAAATGTCACTAGTTGGACTCACTTATCAGCAGGATGGTCCAGTCTACAAGGATACAACAGGTGTGGTAGATACACCAAACTTTTGTTTCTGAATATAATAAAAAGATGTCCTCACATTTTTTATTTGGATCAACAGTTTACATTAACAGCTGTAATAACTTGGTTAAGACTGATAAGTGAAATCCACTGGCTCCCATATTGTACCTGTTTCCTGATTAGTACACCCCTTGTTCTACCATATTAAACAGTAGATATGCATTCCACCAACCATACTTTCCTAGTATATACATGACCTAAAAGAAGTCCCTTTCTTGCTGACCACATTATATCAAATCTACCAGTATGTACAAGCTCCATAACAAGCCCACCTTTAACTAACTAGATTAACCAAACATGTATGTACAAACTTCATAACAAGCATACCTATAACTAACCAGATAAACGAAACATATGTACAAGCTGCATAACAAGCCCACCTCTAACTAACCAGATTAACCAAATGTATGTATAAGCTCCATAACAAGCCCACCTCTAACTAACCAGATTAACCAAATGTATGTACAAGCTGCATAACAAGCCCACCTCTAACTAACCAGATTAACCAAATGTATGTACAAGCTCCATAACAAGCCTAACAAGCCCACCTCTAACTAACCAGATTAACCAAATGTATGTACAATCTCCATAACAAGCCCACCTCTAACTAACCAGATTAACCAAATGTATGTACAAGCTCCATAACAAGCCCACCTCTAACTAACCAGATTAACCAAATGTATGTACAAGCTCCATAACAAGCCCACCTCTAACTAACCAGATTAACCAAATGTATGTACAAGCTCCATAACAAGCCCACCTCTAACTAACCAGATTAACCAAATGTATGTACAAGCTCCATAACAAGCCCACCTCTAACTAACTGGCTTAAATTAAAGATATGTACAAACCTCATAACAAGCCCACCTCTAACTAACCAGATTAACCAAATGTATGTACAAACCTCATAACAAGCCCACCTCTAACTAACCAGATTAACCAAATGTATGTACAAGCTCCATAACAAGCCCACCTCTAACTAACCAGATTAACCAAATGTATGTACAAACCTCATAACAAGCCCACCTCTAACTAACCAGATTAACCAAATGTATGTACAAGCTCCATAACAAGCCCACCTCTAACTAACCAGATTAACCAAATGTATGTACAAGCTCCATAACAAGCCCACCTCTAACTAACCAGATAAACCAAATGTATGTACAAGCTCCATAATTAAGTCATCCCTTTTTGTTTCATTCTGGGTTAATAAATAAACGTCCAGGAACGCTACTTGAGTTTACCCGATGACTTTCATTGATATTGTTGCTAACTGTGGTTGACTTAGGGTCAACTGTCCTGTCCTATCAACCAACATAGTGACATATTAACTGCTGTTGCTAACTTGGGTTGACTTAGGGTCAACTGTCCTGTCAATTCACATAGTGACAGAGTGACTGCTGCTGCTCACTTGGGTTGACTTAGGGTCAACTCTCCTGACCTATCAACTCCTGAAATACTGCACAATTATTGCTGACAGAACATTTTTCACAAGGCTGCATTTCATTCACAATGAAAACCTCAGACATATCCAGTTTAGGTGTGGAATCAAGATGACCATGAATTACTTATCTAATACATGGAAACCATCATAAGATGAGGTTAAATATACCTATAGAATAACTTGAATATAGCATCCGACATATTACATATTCTGAATGATTGGAGAAGATCTGGCTTGTCAACAGATATTAATTTGATTTCTCATTATGCGTTTGTAAAGTAGATGTTTTTTATCTGTCTGTATATTGTGAAGAGTCCATGCTAAGTTTTCAATAACTACTTCTTTCCAATGTTTCAATACACTTAGCTATAAAACCCTAAGCCTTGGTCAAGACTGCACCTGTACAACCAATAAACATACTATCATCTTCCACACCACATAACAATGATGTATGGATCATTATTTCACCAAATATATTGCCCACAGGACTCTTCACCATTGTTTTCTGGATGGGTGACTGATTGAATGTCAACACAGGATACCAGCTGACTCTGCTAGTGTATTGGGAAGTGTGAAGCATTACACAAGGTGTCCTAGGGCTGTCTTTGTGTGTGGTCACTACCAGTACTTACTGACCAAAGACAAATGACCAAGGATGACCATGCAAAACCACAGAAGTCGTCATTAATATTAATTAGACCCTACATTCATCCATCAGTTCTGACTGACAATATTAAGTGGATATCTGATTATGTCAAGACATAACATCACCTACATTTACAGGCACCAAGAAGAAGACTGCCTTTTGGTTAAAAAGTTTTTTACTTAATTATCTACATCCATGTTACTCAGACAACACACACTGTGAACCAGGAAGTCAATAAATCCATAACATATCAGTATTCTACCACTAAATAAACAATATCTTTCTATCCAATAATAAAATGATATTATGTCACACTAGAGAAGATTGGCATATCTGTATTGTAAGATGCAACTTAGTATGGACAGAACTGAACCTTCCTCATCTACTTTCAGTTTTTTTGCATTTGTGTTCTAATATTGCCTGATCATCAAGACTCATATTTCTCCTTGCATTCCTTCAAAAGAATCTTAATCTTTTGCAAGATTACTTCCTAATTATGCTGGTATCCATTTGTAATGATAAACTGCAAATTGCCTTCACGCAAAATATCACAATGAGTAGCATCAAGGTTTAAACTGGAAGGCAAAAACATGACCAATATGATAAAGTGCCTTCTTCGAAATCCTCATAATTTAGATTTCTGAAGAAAAAATTAAAACATAACAGAAAATCATTCACAAATGCAATTTACAAAATTCTAAGTCTACTGTACATGTGTATGAAAAGCTTGGTTCATATTGGCTTTACCATGCAGGTTTTAATCGGACCCCATTGTCCCATGAAAAGCCCTCTATCACTGTCTTTCTGTTAAAACATTTGGGATGTTATATGATAGACAAAAGCCAGAAAGACCATAACAAAGAAATAAACGATACAGATAGGTGCAATCAAATAGGACCCATCATAGAATGTTATCACTCATTAAGTACCATTGTCTTAACACAGATCTGGAAACTGCACATAAACGGTAAACAGTTGTCAACAGCTGTGGCCAATGACTACACACACAGTAGTACACCAAGTAACACCCAAAGGAGGTGAGCTTGGTGCTAATCATGGCCCATCAACTACCATTAAAACCCAAGGACTACCTCAGTGTCAAGGTCTGTCAATCATTACTAACACTTGCATTCAAAATTGCTGAATGCAGCAAAATCAATCAAAATTAACACTTCACAGTGAATCACAAAAGAAAAATAATTATGTAAGCATGTTTACCTACTATGTGCAGCTACAAAGTATTGACAAGATGAGCAAACATTTTCGTCAACATATGATTTGTTAACAAAGCCCTAGGGCACAGACAGAATGTGTGCATGCACAGGTTAACAACTAGATGAATGAAGATTTCCTTACAGTCCTATCTACTGGATTCGTATTTTTGTTTGTGATTGTGAAATGACCCCAAGCCCACTTCATACAACATTTGGTGTATAATGCTTTGTTAATCATTCAAGTTATGTAACCTATGATGTCACTAGCTCGTAAATTTCTTCTGACAGTGTCAGGTTGTATGCATCTGATGAATTCAAATCTCTCTGGTAGTCTCACACAACATCATTCCATCTCATTTCCTAAAAGATAAGACCTCAATATCTGCTGGTTATGTTAATATTTTTTTTATTTCATCATCAAGTGAGCTACAAGAGATCTGCAGGGTTTTTTATTATTGAAGCAGACTCACGGAATCTTTATTGCTTCAGAACTCCCTGTCTCAATCACGTTGTTTTGTAGCATAATGAACCTCTATCAATTTGAAGTTTTTTATCATTGGTTGCGGTGACCCGGGCCTTAAGACCTGCAGCCACTGCCAATAACCTTAATGGTACAAGTCGTTTTAGTGTCTCAGAGTTCTGATACAGAGACAACATCCTACACACAGACTTGTGTGATGGAGACATACTGCTAACCCGAAGATTTAAAATCACATTCTAATGATCAAGGTTCCTATGCTTTGTAAAGTGCAAGTTCAAGAAGGGCATCAATGGGGCAAAGGCAAAAATTAGTGGCTTGTACTTTATAAATGATTTTTCCAGAGGTTCAGATGAATGGAAGGGCAGGAGAATGGGTATTAGAGGGATGAAAGGCAGAGAAATATATGGCAGGACTAAAAAGAGCAGGGAGGGAAGAAGGAAAGGAGGAGTTCAGAAAGGATATAAACTGGAATAACTTTGTTACATTTAGCCTAAAATAGTCCCATTTCAGTTTCCAGGAAGTAAATTTGTTCATCTTTTTTCCTTTTTTGACCTTTAAAAATGGAGAAGGGAGGTGGGGAAGGAACCTCCTCTAAGGCAAGTAAGAAAGAGTGAAATCCTGTACTTTTAAGGGAGGTGGGGTAGGTAAGTATTGTACTGTCAAGAAAGAACTGGAGAGAGATGTACAGAGAGAATGAATGAAACAAACAGATATTTCTGCTGAATGTGTTGAGCTGACAGAAACCTGTATGTGATATTTTGAAATCATAGGTGTATTTGATATAAAAACATACCTGTTCATCAGATAGTCCCTCCTTTTCCATGGATTGTTCAAGGAGTCGATACCTACAAATAGAAATGACAAACATAAATAAATTTTCCTTTGACAATCACAATAATGGTTAACAGAAATGGATGCACCCAATGAGTACATTTTGACAGAAATCTTCCTCAAATATTTTGTTGGGATGAAAACAAGACTTCCACAAAACGAAAATAGTCTTGTTTTATCAAAACCTTTACTTCTAGTAATTGTAATAGGTTTCCTTTTACAAACATACTGTATTTATCTTATAATAAGACCATTCAGCAGTTCTCTAATAAGCCCACCCACAACCTTCAGTCGATGTTTGAGTTATGTCCTTTCCCCCTGAGGTATTTTGCTTTAATTATGCTGGATTGGGTTATACTAAGTTGGACATTGTGTATCTCTTCACAAATAATAGAATTTTGAAGAAGAGTTTCTTTACTTACAAAATTGAAATGGAAGATAATACAGTATCATGTACATTTAAGACCACATGCATGTACATTTATACATTAGTCAGTGAATGGAAAACACCGACACACATGCAAGCCGTCAAACCGTACTACAATTTGTAGGAAATTTAAATTTGAAATCGGAAGATCTAGGTGACACTGATGAACTGTTATGTAAAAAACAGAGTGAGACATCATCGACAGAGTTAACTATAAATAGCTTTTGTATTTGTCCATGAAGAAAACCTATAGAATTTTATGTCATGTTCCTACGTGTAGTTAAAAGATCATGGACAGATTTTGTTTTTTGGAGTTTTTTTTCTTTTTTCAAAGGGAAGAACACTTACAAAACTAAGCTTATCAGACAAAATGAAATTAGATATTTCTTCAGTTTTACAAGGATCTTTAGAACAACACAATTTATCATCTTTTATCTTTAATATTGACTTTCCTTCCAATAAATTCAGTCCATGTTACATGAACACGCACTGACAAATACATCTGAGTTTTGCTGCACTTGCAGGTACTTTCAATGGCAAACAGGCAATTCAAAACTTGTTGGTTCTTTTGATATGTTATAATGATCCATTCTAACTGGCTGACAGTATATAACCCCAGAATTTTTTCTCCAAAGCTGTCTCCCAACACCTGATGGTATCAGGTGGACTAATCCTTTCAGGTATAGACATTCATTACTGAATACATGACAAACTTCTCAAATAAAACAAAAGTCACTTTTGAAGACTTACAAACTAGAATCATAACCCCTCAGATTGTGGATATACCCATCAGAACAGACTATATATAGCCGCTATAAAAACAATCGATAGAACAGAACGTAAATAAAGCAGCTAAATAAAACCATGGAAACTAAATCAACAGAATATCTGCACAAAGCAATCAAAATTGAAAAAGCAAAAACAAAATATCACATTTCAAACTAACAAAAAAAAATTTTATTCAAACAAAAATTCTACAAATTAATTAAAAGGCCATCATCAAATTTTGTGATATGAATGAAACTATTGCATCAAATTCAGACAAAGTTTGAACAAAAAATCACAAACCAAATAACCAATAGACAGAAATAGCAGCTATCTTCACATATAAAAATAAGGAACCATTATAGACAGATGTGTGAAATGACAAAACCATGACTTTGCTGTAGACACTTGTTATCATTATCCTGCTCAGCTAAATTGCCAGAACAAGGATAGATTATCAAGTATTATTCATTCCAAGAAAGGTATGAAACTTTAAAGAAGCCAGAAATTTATTTCTTTTTCAATTGCATGTGCACTACACATTAACAACTACTAACATTTGAATTTCAAAAGCAACAAGACTTGAAAAAATGTACTGATTAAGACACAGGAAGAGTCTTAGAATATTTAAAATCAAGCGAGATCTGCAGTACACTTTGAAGTTTAGATTGTATGCCTTGGGTATAGAACTGCAAATTGAACTTATAGAGAGTCACAAATTTGTGACAAGTGACACCACTTTAGAAAAGTGAAGTTATTGTACACAAGTTATTTGCAGTATTATCAAAAGCAATAAAATGATCTGTAAAATTTACGAGTTTATCTTTTTTCACAGATAAACGCTATACACAGTTGACTGGAGTCAATTGTAACCGAATGATCCTGAATAACAGTCTAAGTTGTATATAATGGTTAATAAATCCACCAACAAAACAGTGCCTTCAGTAAACCCTTCACATTGCGGTGTGTTTGTACTGTGGTCTGTAGACAGTATTATTTGTATATTGGTTAGTACTTAAATAGGTCAACAACTGTCTGACCAGACTAAACCTCAGTCAGAGCTGACCAGTCCATGTCTATAATATTATGATTTAAAGACTATGTGATAGACTACTGTTTAGAATTATACACCCTCAAAAAAAGCAAACATTATAATGATGTGACTGATAGAAATGACCTCCCAAACATCATCAGAAATTAGATTTGACCTAGATCTACACTGTAAGAAAAAGTTTATCTGGCCTTGACCTACATTAATCTCATAAGGATTTAACCTTTAACCTTTACAACACTGTATATAAATTTGAATTCATCTAATACCAAATACAACCTTAACAACCTAGAGGAACAAACTTACAATATATATCATTGGAATGGCGTCATAAGATTTCTTTAGAAAAACTCTTACAATCAATTTGAAATATACATACAAATTAATTTTAATTATTTGAAATATTCATGAAAAAATCCTAATCTGAAGACAATTGAAGAAGCCTAGTTCATATTTCAACAGTAGACATTTGATCTAGCCATTAAACCTGCGTTAAAAAAATACATTACAAGTAACACCTTACACCAAGTACGTCAAATACAACAAAAGATCTGTCTGACTGTTAGTGCCCAGGTATTACATGTGGTATAAGACTTCCTTGTTAATCCTTACCCACAAAATCATATCTTAGCCAAGTCTTTCAGACGTCTTATGTATGTAGTCAGTACCACAAAAACCAAGCACCACAGTAACATTCAAACCTTAACGTCTAATTTTCCTGACTTTGACAATGAAATTCTTATTTGTTTATCTAGTACTCATAATACATGAACATTACTTCTTCTGAATGTTGTCAAACACCTAGAGATTAATTTCAACCCAGAAATAGCAACAACTTTACAAATAAGTTTATAAATAAATGATAAAAGTGACCAAACCTGTTTTATACTAATATGAATATGTTGAATCATTTTACACCTGGGCTATACATTAGTTTTCCAACAACTTTATACCAAACCAATGGACAATCGTTTAAAAAGATTTAACGAGAAATATTTGTGTTACTGACATGCTATCATTGTGGTCTGTCTATAGATTATGTCACATTACAATGCATTGAAGGATCCATGGCAATTCATCTTTAATCAGATATAAAGATCTTATATAGGTATATAGTTTATCTAAAAGTCACTGTTGTCAGTAGACTTTTCATTTTTCTTGTTTTGTAATTGGAACAGCTATGCCTTGGGTTATTTCCTCTATAGTTCAAACTTAACAAATCAAGACTTGTTCCTATTAAAGTAGTAACCTTACAATAGCTGTTAATTCTTTCAAAGTAATTCAATCACCACAGTACTGACATTGGTTCTATTTTAGTTGTATTTCATTCAAAGTATACAACTCATCCAACAAATTTCTTTGCCATACTGGAGTAGGCTACAACAAACTTACAATACTTTTTGTCCTTGTCTCTACAATACATAGGGAATGAATGACCAACATGGATATTTACTACATGTGATAGTGTGGTCCACATAAATGGTGGAGTAAGCTACAATTGTAAGCTAACAATGCTTTCTGACACATGCACTACCGCTATGATAAATAGCTCAAAAATAAGGTTATCTGCTGAAAGCTGACAGTGCTTTCCAACACTTCCTCTACCCATCAATGCCTGTGAATATTCAAAGACTACAGCAAGCTAACAATGCTTTTTCTGCCCAATGATAGACTATCACAACAATCTCTATCTGTTACTGTGGCAGCATGATAATTACGTCCATTATCTGGGTCAGAAATCTGAAGGAAACAATCACTGACCCACTCATTAATTTCTGACCGATAATCAGATTTGGCCAACACCACAGACCCGAGAGGGACCGAGTGGGCGGCTGTATCTGATAGGTGTACAAGTTGTCAATATCTAGGTACAGTCAGGATCGTACATACATTTGGTGATCCACGAAAACCAATAACAAAACCTAGAAGAAAAATGAAGTGACACTGAACTCCAGCAAAGATCACTCAAGGGAGCACAGAAAGTGCCCTTCAAATTTACCTTAGTAAGACGTCCCAAAAAATTGTGAAAATGAATTATCAAAAGTACATAGCTGATTCAGGTACTGATTTATGTACAGAAAGATAAAAAAAAATTGAAAATAGAGAATAAGGTATATTGCTTCATCCAATCAGAATAAACTTTTTTTGTGATTGTTAAGTTTCTAAAGTTCACTAAAACTGCCTGTAAATGATACTCAAACCCGTTTCATTCTCTATGATAGCCAATTAAAATGCACCTGTGCACATTTATCACTCAATATTTACTTTAAGTTTTCTTTTCACACCCGGCAGTATTTCCTGCTTTAAGTAGAAATGCAATTTAAAAAATGTTTAACACAAAAGCGAAGATTTGCCCAAGAGGATAAGGGTATTGAAATCTTTTATTACTTCCTGTTATAAATATATCACTGCACCTGAAAAAGGAATTCCGGTTTTTTTACCTACCAGTAATAAGCCCATGATTATATTAGACTCTGGTGGACAACCATAACATTTACAAGTTTAGTTACATCAAAAACATCCAAAATATTAAATTATGTATATCAAAAACAACTAAAATATAAATATAAACATTCCAAAACCAGAAACAGGTATAAAAAAAAATCCCACACCTGCTTAGATATTAAGACATATCAAAATCACCTACACTATCAGATACAACACATTAGCAGTGGATTCCGAGCTGTTCAGAAAAATTTCCAAGAATTAGACAGCATTAGTCTACTACATAAACTTTCATGCAGAAAAAAGTGGATGGTTGTGTTTATTCAAAGATTGGAGGCCAGGTGAGTCAGACACTAACACTAGCAAAGAGATGGCCCACCAACCACAGCTCACATCAATCAATACTAGCATGAATCATGTATTTGAAAACCAGATTATGTCACCTTATGCATGAAATATAAATGAAAGAACATCTTTTAGTTCTAAGACACAATCAAGTGTATAGTCTAGGTTTATAGGGCTACACACTGACGATGTTTTCACCAAGACTATGTCATGAGGCCAGCATTTGCATTGGAACAGTGTTGGTAACCATTAGCAACCCTGACCTTCACACAAGATGACTTTCCCCTTAGGAGTCTGGTAACATGGGTTTTACCATTAATATTCCATAAATCTAGTGAGAAATTACCTAGCTGTGCATTGCGTGTTCAATATTATAGCATTTTATACAAATACTTGCTCAGTTCGAAACTGTTCTGTATTAACAACGTTGTAAATCCTAAACATTACACTTTAGATACTGACTATGGTACTAATGCTAACTCCTGTTGTCATTGTCAACTCTATATTTCATGATTTATCTTGATTGGGACGAGAACATTAGTTGGATTCAACAAATCTGTCATTTTGGGTTATATTGAATATGAATAAAGCCAGGTGTAAGTAAAATCATGTGGTACTGTAAACTGTTGTACATTACCTGTTACAAGGAATACATTTTTAAGAAAAACCTATTTTAAGCTTTTCAATTCTTATCCCCTTCTCAAAAGTGATGATAAACGCTAAAGGCCATCAGCTGATCAGGGTGGAGTCACCTGGAGAGAACTTTTTAATTAAGTCTAGACAACAGTTAAAGCTAGGTAAGCACATTAGGTGGAAATGAAATACAAACATTTACATAAGCTTGTTCCCATAGAAACAGTTGTTAAATATATCGAGGTCAATTTACCATAGAGTTTTGTCTTAATTGCTAACATTCATGCTGTTACTGTGGGACAGTTTCAAAGTTGTATATAATGAATTTAAAAACAGGGTCCAAACTTTGACCACCAATAAAACTTCAGGATTTTTCCTTTAATGCAAGAGGGCTGCAATATCTCAGTCAGTAGAATATTAGACTAACGCACAATCAGGTCATGATCCGATGTATGTAGAGCAAATCCAGTTATTAGCAAGCTGCGATCAGGACTGTCCTGTATCATCGCCATTTTTTCTTGGGTAATACACTTTTTACCTAAATGCTGTGGAAATACATGATGTCGGCCTCCAGCATGATATTCATGAGGACAGTCATCAACTACAAGGAGAGCATGCCTCAAAATGACCATTCTAGTTGTTCAAAAACCATACATCCAACCAGCAGGCCTTAAAGTAATAATCTAAATGCAGGTTGTTAAATTTCACTTAGGTCTTACAACTATGATGCTCATGTTGTTTTGTACTTAAGGCCTGTTTCTGTCTCTTTAGAGTAAACCAATATACTTTAAGCTGTTTCTTAGAAGTAACAAATAACATTTCATGATTGTCTCCTAATGCATGCTGCTATCATTGTTATTTAGTGGGCATCTTACTCTTGCTTACCAAGGAGAGTGTGATTGTAAAATTTGTTCCTCATTAGCTATCACTTCTAGTTTCATGGTATGTAAAGGATGCTTCATCATAGCCCTACATTTTGACCTTTCTTTTCATTGTTTCTATGTTGCTACACTATTATTCTACATTTCATTGCTTTTCATTTTTACCAAGATTGCCCTACATTTTAACCCATACTCTCCCCTAATTATCGCCAGACTTGCTGACAGTTGACAATGTTTGGTTTCCACGTAAACCAGTCACACTGCTGACAGCAGTAATTATGGATTATTGAGAGCTTGTGACATTAAATAATTATAATGAGATATCTGTCCCCTAATCATCAGTACTTCTGACAGCTGCACCAGCTTGTATTTCCTCGACAACGCCCAATTTTATACTGTCAATGGTATTGATCTTCAAAAAACATCTTTTGTTCAAATCATATGGTATATTTGTACTAAACAACTCAATTCTGTTGCAAATTGTTTCCGTTTTCATACAACTAAATATAACCCTACACTCTATATATAAAACACAATTAATTATACTGAAACCAAGGTTTTTTTAGTTTGCTGTACATGTACAATTCATGCAATTTGTCATGAATGTGAAAATTTCTTTCCTGGAATAAAATTTTGTTACAGGGAAAAAATTCCAGCTTCTCGTTCAAAGAGCTATCTATCTTTTAATTGATATTTTGAAATTACAGTAAAATTTTCTATTTCATTTGTTTATCTTTTTCAAGAAAATAAAAGTATTCTTACAATTGTTCATTTGAAATGTATTATTTCTGCCATCTTTATACTATAACAAGCCAACATCTAAATCCAGCAGGTAGGTTTGTAAACAGACAGGCAGTCAAGTTGGATGGACTCGTATGATTTGCTATATATTAATTTCCTGTGTGAGAAAGTGCTCAGGTTGACCATATTAATATTAACCAGTTTTCACCTGATATTGTTATATGTATCATTTTCTATTGTCATTTTTTTGTTTGCTCGCTGGGTTTATTGCCAGTCAAATGCAAGGGTCAAAATTAAGCAGGGTCTCTTTGAAGTAGTTGGTCGCTACCTCACTGAACAACATACTGGAGGCCCGTCACATCCATTAAAAGAAGTTGGGGTTAAGTGTCTTTTACAAGAACACAATCTTCAATATGGTACAGGGCAGTCCCTGTCTTATTGTCAGCTTCATGAGAGAAAGACAGCTGCGGGAGTTGGGAGTTTCATCTGATTAAGAGACAGTGATTGCAAGATGATTACATACATATTGGATTACCTATATCATCATGCTTTACCTTCTATTGTAGTTTAAGACAGGAACTGAACGACAATATGTTTATCAGTTGACTTTTTTCTCCTGGTAGCATAAACAGGAATTAAAGAACACTATTTAAATGTTTTACAGGTGGTTTTTTAGTTCTGTGTAATGCGAGTCGGGGATGGATATTTACTAGTAGTCTCTCTCTGTAGCCAGATAGGTATAATGAGACGACAAATTATTTACCTGTTTTCTCTCTCCTCATTCTGTGAGAGGAGGTTGGAGTAGTAGTTTTCAAGTGTAACCTTAGCTTTGGTAGCCTTGTCCTTTGTGTGGTTACTAACTACAGGTGTCTGCTCCCCTACAGTGGCCATTTTGGAGCGGCGACTCTACAAAACAAAATTGCCTTCATTATTTTCCTGCAACTCAATTCAATGTGTGAATGGTATCAAAATTATCATATTAATCCAACATATTGTTTTCAGTAAGCAGAGAAAATCTCCAAGAGGAGAAAGTTCTCCAAGGACCTACAGTCAATACCATAGTGTAAAGTATTTCATCTCCTAGGTTTATGGATATTAAAAAAATCCAAAGTTGAAAAGCTGTAAACAACCTTGGTATTCCATTTTCACAAACACAAAACATCACATTTATAACGATGGGTGATACCTGAAAACTGAAACCAAGACAACATTATTTATGCTGAGTAATCAGGGTACTTTGCTATGAGTAATCAGAGGATAGGTTAAAATAGACAACTTCTGAAAACCTCATCACTGCCAGTATACATAACTTTCAGAGAATATGCATGTTAGAAGTACAAAATTTCATTAACAATATCAACTTATTCAGATCCATTTAAAAAGTCTTCATATTACTAAAATGCATCTAGACGTCGATTTGATCAATAGAAACTAAGTAATAGCTTGGACATTTAAACTCATTATACCTAGGATTCAGAAGTGAACATGATGTCTGGGGCCAGAAAATAGTCTTTTATTTCTACTGAGGAGTATTGATGTTCTTATACATGATAGACATCAAATTCAGTAAATGTCTAGTTCACACATGAAGTGGAATAAAGATTCTTAAATAGCCAAATGTGTGTGAACTACTGACCTCTAACCTCAGAAACCACCAATGGCAATTAAGTTTTACATGAGGCGTGTCCCAACTATTGGCTGGTGTTTTCTAGCTAATTTTTTAATCTCATTATCCTGCATGTGGCAACATACAACCTTGTTTTCTCCTAGATAATTATTGAAATGATGAGAAAATGACAACTTATTTACGAGCACTTGTTTTATCCAGATTTGTGACAGGCTAATGTTATCATAAAACAAATACAACAAATATTATTATCATTTTCATCGTTTTAAAACACTCTATCAAACAGACTATTGCAAATATGATATCATTATACTTTTTTGACATTAGCCATAAACACATAGCTGATAATCAGACTATTTTCTTGGACCTTGAAAGTTCAGGATAAGACAAAATGCACAAAGAACAATGTTATCTAATTATGTATAAACATATCCAGTTACTCTATCAATATACAAATGTGTATATCACATATATGAATATACTATAATTATTAATTTATAATACTGCTCGATATAAAAAAAAACATAAAAATCTCAAAAAGCTTGTCACCTACAATTAAAAATTTTGGATTCCGAGTTAAAAGTGAATGAGAATACATTAATAATTAAATACTACAATTATCAATGTAAAAAGTTTTACTCACAAACTCCCTTCAGTCGTATTCAATGTTGTCAGGCTTGTATTTTAAAAATACTTAATACTTTAACCCTATTTCAACATAATACTATAATAGAGCAGTGCATTTATACAGTACACCTTGTGTTTAGATAGCTAGTAGTCAGCTGATGACATCACGTCATCCTTTTAAACACACATCCTGGTGTTAGAATCTAGGCCCTTTCATATGATCTCAGGAAAAGAGTAACCAATCATTAATGGCTAAAACTCAAACGTGACAGGCGTGTTCACTGAAAATGGGATACCACATGAAACACCAATATAAACATCTTGATCAAGATTATAGAAGTTCAACACCGTCACCAATATACCACTTCCATTTTATTTTTTCATTCATTACTCAATGCTTATGCAGTCAGGATATTTTGAAGTGATATTTGAATCCAAACAGGTTTAAATAGTCCCCTTCTATATATACAGATGACTACCACTTTGAAGACAGCAGAATGTCACTTAAAAACGCTATTCCATACTTGCACTGTTTTTTCTATCCAAGTAGATTATCATAACAAAGTCCAAATTATTATTATTTAACTGTTTGATATTACACCGTTTTACAACAATCAGACATTATAATTGTACAATTTTACAACTCTGACCTGTCTGAACAATTCTCACTTAATATTTGTTGTTACAATTGTTGTGGTTCCCTAAAATGTTTCCACATCATACTAATTACTACGTCTGTTTCACAAAAGTCCTGAATATTTTCAGTTAATGTTAGTTTGTATGTTAACTGATAAAGTTTTCAGTAGTGTTATATTTCCGCTACCCTGATTTTTTTTCACGAATGTTACACTGTATCAACAAATCAATTTCAGTTTAAGTCTGATTTAACACATACCCTGAAGAACCGACCCTGTTCTGATGTAAAAATCCTAAACAAGGCTGAAATAAATGCTGGTCTATCCATGAGGAGGAGTCATTAATGAGCTTGCATCCTATATAGAGTTACTGGAATCAATGCTTACACTGATCCTGATCAAGAATGGATCTCGATCAAGCCAATAAAATTACTTTTTATCACCATCTAGTGGAAAGTGAGGGATTTATTGTAGAATCTATTGCAGAAATCTCCTTTATTATCGAATTTCCACATCCAGCAAAACCTTATGACGAAATCACCCCAACATATTGATGTATCAAGTTAAACCTTTACTAGGTATTGCTCCTTGCTTCAACAGATGAACGACAAATTTGAAAATTATGATTAAGGCAGCAGTTGTGTACATCCAGTATAAATCCTTTGTATTTTCCAGTCAGGATAATGACCCATAATTTCACTACTTTTCACCGAAACAGTCACAAATCTAAACCATGCACCACTGTATATATGGAAATTACTGATTTGATGCCTGGTTTCGCAGAAATAGTGTTAAATGTACATGTTTTTATCTATGACATACGTAAAGCATCAGTGAGAATGTGTCACTGATAATTTTAAATGTAAAACACTTTCAGGCTTCATGGAGTTTTCACACACGCCACCACTGTGAGTATATTACTAGGGACATCACAATCGCTGATGATCAATTATAGATCAAATGTTTCCTCTAGCATCATATACATGCCATGCCATCATAATTAATATGAAGAAAGACGTCAGTACTGCTGAATTCCAATTCACAAACTGATCAACGTTGTCTAATCAGTTTGATAGACCATCTACTGAACACACCAACATAATTACAGTAGCTCCATAATCATATGCACAAATTCAGGTGTATGCATGTAACAGGTGACAGAATGTTACATATAAAGTGCCCCACTCAGCAGTCATATAACTTATAAAGTGAAAATAAAACCAGGTTCAGGAACACAATGTCTGACAGTCCTTTGTCCATCATTGTAAGGACATATTGTCTGATCCTATTAAACAAGCTGAACACAGTCACAACGATGACAAAAATCTCCTGAGGCAACATACACCTACAACATCCTAATGACATCCAATATGTATCATAAGTCAACCACAGCCCTGATTGGACATGACAGTCTACAGGTCATCACAGCACCTCATTTCCATTCACAAAAGGTAAACACATTGCTGGGGCCATGTATAGGTCATTTCATGTCTTCACGTTGAATGCATGTAAAATGGTCCACCACTAGTCTGTTAACTGTTATAATAAGCTTAAATTAACCTAAACACCCCTGTCTTAAAGTATTGAAATGTTCTAAATATTTCACAAACAGCATCTTATTTATATTATTCTTTCACATAGTGTTTAGGAGCCAGCTGAATAAATAGGACTTTAATCCTCGGAATGTGAGGAACAAGTCCAATGTAGGTTATCACCTGTTACAAAGAAATACATGTACAGTAGTATTTAGAATCAATTTCGATCAGAAAATTCAGCATACAAAAAATATGCTGACAACCCATGTACACATAATCCTGCACATAGGTTCAAGTAAATTAGTTTGTTTAACATACAATATGTGATATACATTCTAAAAAGTTCTACGTGTACAGCAATCCTTGACAGTAAAAGATAAATAGAGCCTGGAAAATATAACTCTTACCCCCATAGTTCCAATTCTAGACAGCACATGTACCTATGTAACACATGGTCAACTTCAACGTACTTCCTCCCCCATCTGCCATCTCAGTACAAATGTAAAACCAGGAAATCAATTCCCATTGCTGGCTATATGATGATTTAGTTATATCAGGTGGTAAAAACACTATGACAAACCGTCCTACTGTACATTACAAGTTACATCCTGGCGTAACCATGGAAAAACTTGGGCAATGTAATTGGTGGCATACATATAGGCCACGCGGCAAGGCCAGGTGAAATACAATGGCTGGAATAATTTGATTATTCTATTACTATCTCTTCATCTTCTGAAACCTAAAATGAACAATACAACAAACTTCCTGTATCATTAGTGTGATAGGTAACTGAAACTTGCAATCACCTTTTCATAATTTGAAACCTTACCACACTGGTGTTGGTATGCCTTTCAGTGAATTGCAGGTATATATTCAATACAATCACAGTTATATGGATTTATTTATCACAAAATGACAGTTTCATTTCTTTGATGTAAATAGCAATAAGCTGCCAAAATCTGCATTCATGTTAATTGACATCATTAAAGAAATCTAAATTTACATAAGATTAACTACAAGACTAATATGTATTATTATCAATATAAGACATACTGTCTCTATGTATATACAATTAAGATTTCACAGAGTTATCATACCTTGCAATCGAGATGTAATTTCTGTTAGTTGTAATTTATTGTAAGCATAAAACTGACAAGTTTCCTAAAAGAAGTCCGAAAGAAAGAGATTTGTTAAAAGGAGATAACTTGCTAAAGAAGGGGAGGTAATTCAATAGCCTTCAGAAATATTGCCTTAATTAGATTTATTAATATTCATTATTTCATACCCAAAATAGCCTCCAATTTTGTCTTTGCCTATTCTATGTTTCCTATCTTTCACTTCATTTACTGGTAGCTAGTTCCCTTTCCAATTTTTCAATAATAAATGTAACTGAACATTTGCTGTTCATTTTGTCAGATCTACAGCATGTGCAGTGCAAGTAGAAGACCAGAAACCAGCTAATAAAGCATCACTGACCTTTAA